AAAATCTTCATTGGTTTCATTGTAATTTACTTTTTTATTATTTAGGAAGCATTATAAATAGTTATGTTTTAAAAGAAAAAACTACTATTGTTATAAATAACACATTCAATTGAATTAAACTATGCATGCCTATTTAAATATATTTACACATAGCTTGTGTATATCGTATATATATTATTCATACCTTCGGCGTATAGGACGCAAGCAGATTTTGACATCAAATTTTGAGGTAAAAAGTGCGTCTTATACACCGAAAAATACGGTAATTGTGATTTTTATAGAATAACAGTATTCAGTATTATAAATTTAAAATTGTTTATTTGTACAATAGAAACAGACATTTTATTTTATAATTGACGATTATTCAATGAACTGTGGTAAAGTTTAAGATATTGTAAAAAAATACGATTTTTACATACGACTATGCAAGAATAGTTGCAGTATAATGTAAAATAAAATATTAAACTCGTAAAAAACAATCGTATTATGACTGGTTACTATAGTTTTCGCCATTAGCTTTAATTGGTGTAGCTAAGTTAGTCATAAGGGATTTCACCTATAAAAGATTTTAATGTTTCAGGTACTTGTAGTAATCGTGACTAAATGTTCATTTGATTTAAGAATGCCCAAAAGAGTCCTTTCAATGCAACGACGGATCCTGCCTCTCCAGATCTGTTGTGTGTAACGGGAGGTGGGAGTGTCCAGATGGGAGTGATGAAGCAAGGTGTTATAAAGGTAAACGATCTCTTGTATATAACAACCTCTAAAGTCTACAAGACCTAAAATGACAGAGGGAAGAATAATTTGTTTCCACAAAAAAAAAGAAGAAAACAAATAGGCTTTAAAAGCATTTATTTTTTCACAATTTTAATATGCATTTATAGCGCGTATTTTATAAAAAAAAATATTATTCGCTGTCAGAAATAAATGTTAGCTTATATAACGGTAAATAACTGCAAATTCTGGTTTATTTATTTAATGGAAATGTATCTTTATTCATCATATTTTTGTAATTGAAAGAAATGGGTGTTGGCAAGATTGTTAGCTTGAATAAGACAGTATATAGTTAGTTCTAATATATTTTCATGTGAACTAGTTTTACGAAAAAGCAAATTAGGTATGTTCACTATATAACGAGAGGTTCGACAAAATAAATTACGAAACAATCCAGAACTTCGTTAAAATGAGTATGTTCGAAGAAATGAATGGACAGGAAATATAGTGTGATGCATAATGAAACAAATCAGCAAAAAAGAAACAAAATTTTTTAAAGTCGATGAAGATCTTTAATAGTTCTTCCTTTTGTCTTACTAGTGCAGGCGAGATTAGTAGATCTGTGCAGTATATGACTTTGTCAGCTTCCTTGTTTGACTTTACTCCCGAATGGCCTGCCACCTACATTCAGGTGATGGTTTTACTTTGTAATTGTTTTACTTTATGTAATTCGTCAGGGAACCAGCCATTCAGTATTGTCTGCAAGTCAGTCACAGATATTATGCTGGTGGTACTGTCTATTTGTGGTTCATTACTTTCAGCAATCCAGAGAAGAGCTTGCTTTATATGGCTTCCAGCTCCATCTTGTGCTTGTGCTGCTTGTGGAAAGTTTCAATACTCTACCAGCCTTTTGTAGAATGTTGCTGCCCCACGAGACGATGAGTGCCCAACCAACTCTCTCGCTATCTGTGGTGTAAGAACCATTTATGGCTATGATAACAGGTGGCTCTCTATCATGGTCTTTACATAGGTGATGCTCAATCTCTGCACTTGTTTATGCTGATTTCTACAGATCCCACTGACACCTTAAATTCATAAAAATGGGGTTATCTGAGATCGGGTGATGGATTATCTCAGTGGGATTGTATAGCCTCTGTCCATTCATAATTGTCATCCGAGGCATCTTTTAAGTAATCTATGCTTGATTGATATCTGCGGGGTCGCTGTGGAGCTGAAATATCCTAATTGAAAAGGGCACTGGCTCTAGGATGTTATTCATGTCCTTTATACTGCAAAGCTATTGTGAATAAGTTTGCTTGTAAGCACTGTTGGGCTACGTGATGCTGCCGAGTCTTCTGAGGGTGAGGCGTATTGTAGAGGTTAAAATACACCCAATGATCAGTCTTAAAAGGTGTTCTGTATTTTCTCAATCTCATCTAACTGTATAACACTTATGCTGATTATCGGTACTGCATTATCCAAGATGGAGTAGGTAAGACTTTGATAGAACGTACACAGATGATTTCCTCCAGCTCTAGTAAACTACGATGTATCTTATATACAAAAAATGTAATATGTATGTTTTTAATGAGCTTCTGTCCTGTTATTCAGCGAAGGATTCTTAGCTTAATGAATCGTTGTTTTCAGCAACTATTTAACAAATCATAATTTCCAGCGCACTGTAGACGTTTTGTACAGCCAGTTACCCATCAAACATAAGTCTATATTCTGTAAATATTTTAAGGCATACGAAATAGTATAGATGGCATAATGAAAACCAGGCGAGAAAAACAAGGCAGGTGATGTGTGATACTAACCTTTGCGAACCACTTTTACAAGGGTATCTTTGTAGCTTCACTGATAGGGAAATGCTATTTTCGAGTATGAAAAACATAACACTATTTATTTTCAACCTAAATGGTACGACACATGATTAAACAACTAGGTCTCGCATTGTCATCTTCAATTCATACCTACTTACAATACGAAAGGTAATCAGACAACAGCAACCGCCATCTACCTGACTTATCTTAACTGACTAAATTATTGTTACCACGCCTTTAAAGCTGAAAGTGTATAATGTATTTAATGGCGTATTGGGGTTCCAACTTTGGATCTTCCGATACGAAACCTAATACGCTAACCACTAAGCCACGCCTGACTAGTAAAACTTTTATAGTTTTGTAATAGGCTAAAGCTTAAAAATGTAACAATTGACGATTGTGGTTCCGAAAATATAACAGTATATAACCATTGTTGACGTAGTTCTCACTAAGACAATGATAAGACCAGGAATGGCACAAAAGTAAAAATCTGGTCTACAACATCACGACATAAGAGGGTTACTTGATGATATAACGCAGTTATTACTACATTTGATGTTCATGCTATTGTGATCGTAAGCCAGAAATTTCCATTTTGGTAACACCTATCTTTGATTTTTTAACAGGAATAGTTTGCGACAAGTATTCCTTCCAGTGTGCCAGTGGCCAGTGTCTTCCACAGTATTCTTTATGCAACGCAGTTACAGATTGTAAAGATGGAAGTGACGAGCTTGAGGCCATGTGTACAAAAGGTAAGTGAAATCATAAATGGGACAATATTGTTATCGTCCACCGTTTATCGATCGTTTGCTAAAGAAAATTTAACGCAGAGAGTAAGATTCCCTATCAAAAGTATATGTAGCTTAGTTACGAAGTTAATGAGTTAACATTATGGTCGGTGATACGACTTTCTGATGTTGGTTTTCGAAGTAAATGAGTAATAAAAGTGGTGGTGATAAGTCATTTTTTTATTCTTCTCCCTTCTTAACACGTGAATGTTGCAGTGAAACACCTGCTCCTCTGTTTAACAAGTAAAAGCGGAAGTGATGCAGTCTTCCACTGTTTAATCCGCCGAAGTAACACTGATTTACCGCCCTTTCAATCAATTAATAATAAAATAGAATAAGACACTCTTTTTAATGAATAAAAGTAGTAAGTTGTAGTAATATAGCCCCCCTCTGTTTAACTCGCCCAAGTAAAAAACAATGATACGCTTACCTATTGTTAGTTAGTAATATACCCCGGTGGGTCAGCGGTAAGTTTACGGACTTACAACGCTAAAGTCCGAGGTTCGATTCCCCTGCGATATGTAGATAGCCTATTGTGAAGCTTTGCACGAAAATATCAGCAACAAGAGTAACTAATAATGTAAGTAATAATGACAATAATATCCTCTATCTACTCTATCAATAGTGGTACAATAATGACAATAATATACTCTATCAGTAGTGGTACAATAATGACAATAATATACTCTATCAGTAGTGGTACAATAATGACAATAATATACTCTATCAGTAGTGGTACAATAATGACAATAATATATTATATCTACTCTATCAGTAGTGGTACAATAATGACAATAATATCCTCTATCTACTCTATCAGTAGTGGTACAATAATGACAATAATATACTCTATCTACTCTATCAGTAGTGGTACAATAATGACAATAATATACTCTATCTACTCTATCAGTAGTGGTACAACCTGCCCAAACGTCCACCAAAGTTTACTGTAAATGTTTATAACAAAGTTTAAGACGGGGCCATACACTACTCCTGTCATTAAAGTTTGTTAATATGTTGTATCATTAGATTTCTTGTTTTTTACAGCAACTGTTTATATCGTAGAAACCTATATACGAATGTTTAGGAAGTGAAGTTTTGGACATTATAATTAGTTTTACTTAATAGAGCTTTTTTAACGTTTGAAAATGCGTTCTATGTCGTCGTATGTTAGATTGTCGTGTAGAAGTTTAGACTCTTGTCGATTTTAGGTGAAACTTGCCCTAGCAATGGTTTCCTGTGCAACAATGGTCAGTGCCGGTCAACAGCTGTCCTATGTAGTGGACTTGATGGTTGTGGAGATAACAGTGATGAAGACAGATGTGACGTGTGTTGTAAGTATTTCGTTATAGACATATTTGATATATTCGTGTTCTTAAGATGAAAACACACAAGTATTCTTTTACATGAGGAACAGTAGTTTCTCCTGGACTTGATGGTTTTGGAGATAACAGTGAGGAAAACAGATGTGATGTGTGTTGTAAGTATACTTGTGTTCTTAAGATGAAAACACACAAGTATTCTTTTACATAAGGAACAGTAGATCCTCCTGGACTTGATGGTTTTGGAGATAACAGTGATGAAGACAGATGTGACGTGTGTTGTAAGTAATCCAAACATCTTTTCTTTGGAGAAAAAGTAAAATTCTTTAACTTGATAATCTAAACATATTACTTCAAAAGTAAGTTATTGTACTAGTTTGGAACATTGTAATGAAGTTACTCTTACTCCACAAATATTTATAGTATAAAAGTTAACTATCATTGGTCTAGTAATAGTGTACTGATATACAAATAAATTAAGAAATAATAGAAAAGAAAAACTATTCAATGCCCTCTATATTCTAGGATTTATTGAACCTTATAAAGAATAAAAGAGTAACAACACATGGGAACGAGTTAGAACTTTGGGTATTTTGAGTTCTGAGGAAAATAAAAACATTAAACATGCACCAGCCTAAGTTATTGCTTTAATTTCTCGAGTTCTGAGGAACATTAATGTATCTGCAAGTTATTAATGTAGGTATTTGGAATCTGAATAGAACTGAAACATTAACAGCACATGAACGTAAGTTTATGCTTTAGCTAGATTGGGATTTAAGGAAGAACAAATTCATTGATTTTACCATAACACAAGTTACTATAAGTCAATAATGGCTGGAGACGGCTTGATTGGGTAGTGAAGAAAAACTTTAATATAAGTTTAACATAACAGCAAATGCACAACGTTTCGACAAGGTTTTGTCATCATCAG